TACTATGTGCAGTCTACTGAAACCCAAAGGTACTTCTACACGGATGATGTGGTGGTGCCAAGTGCTGACCAGCCTGACGCTGCTGATGATCATGTGTACTTGCCCCTCCAACAGGAACTTTCTGGCCAGGCGGCTTGGGAAGGTGACATTCCTCGTCGCCGTTTGCGTGAAAAAACGGCAATCCCACAATTGTCCAAGCTGGGCATGGAGGGGGAGCCTTGTGCCTACGTCCAGAAGTGGCTGTGTCAACACCGTGATGCTTTTGATGCTCATGGCCCGAATGATGAGAAGTTGTTCACAACCGAATGGAGCAGCGACAGCTGGACCATCGAAACACCCTCAAGAACATCCTCAACATCCTCAAGTGCTGGTGGGAGGGGCCCCCCGGGCGGAGAGTTGGGTTTGTTGGGGGTGGACAGCCTTGGAGGAGGGGATTGGGAGGAGTCGCCAAACAAATGGGAGGAGTCGCCAAACAACTGGGCTGGTGGCTCATACCCAGTGGCCTCAATGCAAAAGATCAGGCCCGGGGGAGTTCCGATCACCAAGCTGCAGCTTCTTCGCTCTGTGCAAGCGAACTTGGCGGAGTATGTGAACGAGGAGATCGGGCATGGGGACGTCACCAATGGTGAGCAGGGCTGGTATAGTGGGGTGCTAAGCCAGGCCGTGTTGCATAAGGTGGAAGCTGAAGAACAACTCCTACAAAACCATCAAGATCAGGTGCAAGCATGTAACAAAGAGATGGAGGAGGAGTTCTTGGTCACGAAAACTGTGAGCACCAAGGAGGTGATGGACGATTTTGAGAATTGGGTTCCGGCCATTCAGGCTGAGTACACGCAGCTCGTCCAGACCAAGGAAGCGGTGCAACAGATCACGAAGAAGGCCTTGCAGGCCAAAGCTGAGAACGAAGGCAAGATCATCGAAGTGCTTCCGGCAAAAATGGTCTTCACGAGAAAGGCCGGAGCTGGTGTGAGAAGGGCAAGAGCTGTTTGCTGCGGAAACTACTCAGAAACCCGCTTCAGCGAAGATTGCTACGCTGGAGGGGCTGATGGATGTCAAGTCCGTGCTTTACTCCGCACTGCAGCTTTGAAGTCTTGGTCGGTGGCCGCCACTGACATTCGTGTGGCTTTCCTCAACGCTCCAAGAAGGGAAGATGGAAAGCTGGTCGCCATGGAAATCCCGCAGGTGTACAAACGCCTTGGTCTTGCCCGTGAAGGTGAAGTTTGGCTGGTCAAATTGGCGATGTACGGTTTGACCACGTCGCCACGGGATTGGTCTCAATATCGGGACAGGACTCTGCCATCGGTGAGCTGGATTCGAATGAGGGAGGACAGAAAGGTCCGTGGCCACTTTCTCAAGACCGCCGATGAGAATCTATGGCGCTTGGTGGAGGAGGATGTGGTGTCCGGTGAGAGCTACTGGACTGGCCTCACGTCAGTCTACGTAGACGACATCCTGCTTACCGGTGAGGAGCATGCTGTATCATCGGCCCTGACCTCATTGCAGGCGATATGGACCACATCAAGTGTGGAGTGGGCATCATCACAAAGCCCGGTCCATTTTTGTGGCTTTGAGATCAAGTTGGATGAAAAAGGAGATGGCCTCCATCTGTCTCAGCAAAAGTATGAGCAGGAGATCCTGACTCGATGGAAAGTGAAGGAGAGTTCGACCTTCCCCAACTTCAAGATTGCGGAGGAGGACTTCGAGGCTCAAGAAGAGACGGACATCAGACAGGTCCGTGAAGCACAGGCCCTAGCAGGATCTCTCCTATGGCTTTCGACAAGGTCAAGACCGGACCTGGCGCTGGGAGTGGCGATAGTCAGCCGCATGATGACCAGGAATCCCAAGAAGGCGATTGAAGTGGCCCACAAGTTACTAGCCTATGTGAATGGCACTCCTGGCGATCTTCACTACGCCGGACAGGTGCATCAGGTTTGGGGGGCTCGTGGCCAACTCAAGATTCCCCGACATGGGAAACTCGTGGAGGTTTTCGCTGACATTGCCTACGGCACTGGGTCAGGGCACCGAAGTACTCAGGGCTTGGCTATCTACTTCGCTGGAGCACCCATTGCCTGGCAGAGCTCTTCGCAGCCTTTCGTGACTCACAGTACAGCTGAAGCTGAATTAGTGTCATACTGTGAGGCCCTGACAGCTGGTCGTGCCACTGAAGCACTGCTGTGTACTATGTGCGGGGAGGAGCTGATGAACAACAGCACCTTTGACCGGGTCATCTACGGTGACAATGCCGCTGCAATTGCTCTGGCCCATGGCAACAGTGCAGCTTCCTGGAGGACAAGGCATTTGAGGGTAAGGTCCAATTTGCTCCGGGAGGCCCTGGAGAACAGCAGCTCGTACCCTGGAGGAGCCTGGAAGCTGATGCACCTTCGTGGCACAGAGCTTGTGGCTGATGGACTCACGAAACCGCTCCTGGGTCAAAGTTTTCAGAATTTTCTGTGTGATTTGGGCCTCAGGGTGGAGGAAACTAGTGTGAGGGTGCTTGGGGCGGAACGTCAACCTCCTCAACTACAAGATCAAAATGGGGCTGATCGGCGACATCCTCAAGTACCAGATCAAATGGGGGCACTTCGAGCCTTAGCAGCGGGTAGCGTGCTCGCGCATGTCGCGGAGGCGCAAGGGGATGTGGAGAAGGACTCAACCATCGGGGCCTTGTGGATCTGTGGTTTGATTTTGATCGCCATAGGGGCAATCTGGGTTTGCAAAGCTGTATGTGCTTCGGCATGCTGCTGCTTGCGGCGATTGCAGAAGGTGATCATCGAGCCGGCTGGTTCGCAGAGCCATAGCGAAGGGGATGAGACGGATGCCACTCCGACCCGGCCACAGAGAAGGAGATCGAAGAGCCAAGGTTCAGCGGTCATGGATGAAAGCTCTCCTTCGACCGAAGGTATGGATGAGTCAGGAACACCGCCTGAAGCTGAGTTGCGCTTGAGAAAAAGGGGATCAAGGGCGCGAAGCGCGGAAGGCTCTATGTCCAGGCCGAGCTCTACGCCATTGACATCGAGGCGACAGTCGGGCTCGGCAAGCAGGTCTTTGTCGCGATCCAAAGGGTCGCAAGCCAGCGCGACAGTGACCGATGCAGTGAACTGCGCGGCTGGTGGAGCGGAAAGGGCAGCGATGAGCGCTGAGATGGCCGCGGCAGCAGCTGGGCGTGCAGCCGTGAGCGCTGAGCGAGCTTCGATGCTCTTGCACCAGGCCTTGACAGGCCCTGTGACAAAACAGTCACCTTCGAGGCACAGTGGAGTGCCCATGAATCCATGGAATCGGTTTCAGCAGGAAAACGCTGGCCGAGGATGGACAAAGGACAAAATGCGTGCAGAGTATTTTCGGGCAAAGTGCCACAATACCCTGCCTTGAGCCACGGCATTTTGCCAAGAAGCTCTCCACGCAGTTTCGCTTCCGCGAAAGGGGGAGTCTGACGGTGAGACCACCGCGCACAGGCATTTTTTGTCCAAGAAGAAAAGGTGTGAGGTTTTTGTCGAGCCTAGAAAACGAAGAGGAACGGCAAGAGAAAAACAACGCATCCCGATTAGGGAGGCAAATCTTCTTGCTAAGCGTGAGAGAGTGAGAGAATGAGAGAATGACAGAAAGTGCTCCCAGCTATGAAACGAGCGTCCAGGGACACCATGGAGAGGGGTGTACCTTGGTCTTGCTTCCAGCGACACCCAAAGAGCGGAAGCATCACACTGAGGCTCCGGCGCCCAGAAAAAAGTCAGACCGCTCTGGTCACCCTGTGCCATGCCAAAATGGCGGGCAGCTTTGACCGCTGTGGTCACCTGATCGCGTGCTCGAAAGCTGCCTGCTCGAACTCAATAAATCGTCAAGCCTTGGCAAATAACTTTGGCGTAAGCCTCCTTCGCCCGCAGTGGGCACGTGCGTTCCCGAGCAAGGGGAACATGGACAAACCCCTGTTCGACGGGGCCACAGGGGACACTCCTCGGGTGCACCCTGGGCTGGCATGAAGCCAGACTGAGAAATTGCGTACTGACATGAAGGCGGTTTGCCATCCGGCGGCCTAGGTGACCGAAATCCTAAGAGGTCAGGTGGACACGAGTAGGTTGGAGGCCATCGCTAGTAGTTGGAGGCCATCCCAATCAGGTTGAAGGCCCTCGCCACAGGTTTAGAGGCCTACCTGAAAACCTAAACACCTCCTGGAACAACATCAGGTACATGAACCACCATAACACAAACCAAGGGACCACAGCAACCAATCAAAATTTTAACTACAGCAGGTACGTTTTCACCTCCCTGGTGTGCGGTCTTCGTTGGCCAGGACGCGCACCAGGGAGTCCTGGCCCCCTGCTCCAAGAACAAAAACAAATGCAAGTTCAACGGAATCCCTGTGACTCCAAGAGTGTCACACACACACACACACCGAGGCTCCACCAAACGAGGGGTTCGTGACCCGTGCTTACAAACATTTACACATATAAGTAGAAATTAGAATATACACATTTGTTGAATGCCACAACAACGTGTGGATGGTCAATATGGAAAAATCCTGACAAATCCAACAAGCTCCAATTCACCAGCATGTCTCCTGAGCGGCATGGGTCCGAGCTTTGTTGATCCCCACTTTGCAGGCTAGAATCCAGCACGTTCCTGCCGCTCCCTTGGAGCGTCTTACCCCCTGCCCTTCTTAGTTTCTTTCTCACCCCCAACAGTCTTTGACAAGTGCTTCTGCATTCGACTAGGCATGATTGTCCTTCTTGCAACAGCAGGAAAGAACATTAAACGAAGGGCACCACTGAGAATCAACCCCAGGCTCAACAGGTCAATTCATTGATCCAACACAAAGCGATTTGGTGTCCAACAATATCGCCACTGCAACCCCAACAATAGTGCCTAGCTCGAGGAGACAGCAAGTAAACACCATTGAGCACATTTCATCTATGGAAAGTCCACATTGACTTCCAAGAGCTTGCACAATTATTTGAAATTCTTTGACCACATGCCCTGTTTTTTTGCCATCAGCCCACTTCAGCGGCCTCTTGAATCGTTGACTCTCCTCTGAAACGCGACGGAAACGGCCTCGCTGCACTTTTTGCAACAGCCTTCAGAACAAAAACTACAGTAAACGTTCGCTACTAAGAACAAGAAGCTACTAGGGGCTCCTGGCCTTACTACTAGGAACAAGGACGCTACTAGGCTCGCTGCACTTTCGCAGCAAAAAATGTTAAGCATGAATTGTTCAGACTTGACGTGTCCAAGAATGTCCAAGACCGAGCATTTGTTTCGCATGCTTGTTGGTCGGAGAAAGTGAGTGTGGGGCCGGCCAGTCTTCCGAAGCAAAGCTCGGTTGAGTAGCCGATAGTAAGCAAGCATTGGATGATACCAAACCTCACAAGGGAAAAGGCAAGGTGATGAAAGAGCAAGGGGGTGCAAAAAGAATCCGCTTTCTGTATCGTATAGCTGTATAACGTTCTCGCAGCCCTAGTAAGACCTACCTACAGCCTACAGCTTTGTTATGGTTTCTTATTGCCAAAGAAAATGCCAGGTGGCACTGTCTCGTGCTGGCAAAATATGCCGCATAGCCCACGACATCACGAAGGTAAGTTCCTTGCAGATCAAGACTCGCGCGACACCACCCGTTGCCTGCTGGTTCGACACCAATGTTTGCATCCATGAGTGCATCCAAGCTGCTCCAGCGTCATCTACCCACACTTCCTTCCCAATTTGCCTCGGATTCTCACAATATTGATGAATCTTCCGAGAACTGTCGTCATGCACCGACCTGTACGCAATGCTTGGCGGCAAAGTAGGTACAACATCCCGGGAAGCCACCACACGAAAGGTCTGGGCAAAAAGGACAAAGCTCTGGCAAAGCATTGTCAGCATCGTTACTCATGTTCTGCAAGGGTTGTGTGGCACACTTGCCTGGGGGACTAGAGCATTGTACACGCTGCGGAATGCCGCATTGCCTTTCGGATCCAGCTTGTTTGAGTTGCCCAAAAACAACAGCTCGAAAAGAAAGCAAGAGTATCGGCCAATTAGGATTGGGTCCTGCTTGTTGACTGGGTTCTTGTCACTAGTCTGTTTTGGTTGCGTGTCAAATTGCCTGCACGCGGAGCTCCGAACGTGTACACCACAACGGGTCGATCAAAGGGCAATGACCTGTTCAGCTCGAGGAGGCTGCACAATGCAACTCTTGGCGTCGCACTCTTAGATTTATACTTGTGAGTTGTAGAATTTCTTAGTGCTCAGGCATTCGGTGGCATTCGGCGGCGTTCTTGCATGAACTATAGGAATTGTGTTCTTCCACCTTCCAGGTTCCTCTGGCGCTGCACTTAGATCCAACCTCGGACGAGCTCACTTTCCCCAGAGCGATATATACTAGAATCACAATGAGCTTGAGGCGCAAAAAGATTGGCTATTGCACCACCCATAGAATGGCCAGTGGCCTTGCAAACACCAATTTTTTCAAGCAACCTCCGTACAAAAATGAAACTGCCTCAGATCTGACTTGCTGCCGTGTGTCAAAAACTTTGGTAGTCACACCCAGCTTCTGCCAATGGTCCAATCGAGCCTGCCGAAGTGCTGGAGCTAAGAACAAGAAAGGTTTCCGCAGACCTTGCCTTTAAGATTGCAAGAACATCGGAACGAATAGCCCCATATGCCTGTCATGTGCAAGGAGTCAAAAGCAATATCAATAGCATGGTTCAAGCACAGAAGTTTCTGTCAGGCCTCTGCAAAGCCTCTGTGTACACGAATATTCTCTAAGACCTTCAGGCGACACTTCTTCCAATACAAACTGGCTCATCGATTTCAATTGTCGTCTTTCGCTTTGAGGTTTCAGATTGTTCTGCCTTTGCTCATAAAAGCAAATCATTCATCTGAGTCCTGAATCCTGGATCATCTTGATGGTGTTTCACGTCTTTGTATGCCACTCATCTCATCAATTTTCTCCTTATTCATCTTCCCATCCAGTTTACCCAGTTGCCTCCAGGCTAAGCTCTTCATCATCATCTTCGTCAGAAGGAACAAAAGGGAAAAACAACTTCGTGCAACACCTCAGAAAATGTGGGCCCACATTGCAAAAATGACTGGTATATTGCACAAAGCCTCTACTGTCCTGATTTCCGTATGAAGGTACAAACAGTACCAACATTGGTCAAAGTGAGTGTCAGTGTCGTCCAACAGATTCGCAGTGCTGCGCAACACGACTGCTTCAGCTACGCACTGTGCGAGGAGACGACAACATCCAGGCAGGCCGGCATCCTCTTGTCCTGAAATTTGTGTTTAGACTCAGACTATCAAAAATCGATATTCATTGACATTCTACGCATTTCTGTACCGGTGTAGCCACAGCAAATTGTGCACTGGCACCTCCTAGGCTTGCTGCTGAGCCTGTTGTGCTTTGCAAAGGGTCCTTGGATTGCAGTGTGTGTGTGTGTCCAACCCTGGACAAAGGGTTTTCCACCACCACTCTTTCTACCCTACATGAGCAGGGGGGCAGAGAGGACTTGCAAGGCTCTGCCCAACGAAGCTCCTTGCAAGATCCTAGGATGCGGAAGCTGATCACTTCCGTGTACCTGCTCGTTCTTTCACAAGCTGTTACTCCACTTTTCCACTTTTTGTTTCATGGTTCTTCACGATTTCCACCCCATAAACATTCGTCCCCAGCAGCTGTGCAGCCGGTTCGCGTTTCCGCCGCTTGCGAGTGCCAACATTGTTCAACACTACAGTTTAAGCTGACCTTTCCACCTTGCTGTTCCATCGCCTTCCTTCCCAACGAGACAATTGCGTTAACTGAAAACCCAAGTTCGAAGTGTGTCCTGCTCAGCCGTCCCACTCGGGTGCTGAGTGTGATCCCCGTCACAGGGGCGCCGATCTTGCATGGGAAAGCAACCACCCCAACGCACCACCGCTCACTGGACTCTCACAGGAAGGCACCGACACCCTCACAGAATCAACTGCCACACCGGCCGCCGGGCCAAAAAACGGTTCTTGGAGAATACATCGGATTTCAGCTTTCAGATTTCAGATTTCATTTCATGTCTTCAAATCATGTGTGTGTTTCCACGTTTTGCTATATTGATGCCGTGATTCTTTCATCGGCAGAACTCAAGGATGGGCATTACAGCTCTTCAGCTCAATTCGAAATGCATGAATACACACCTACCAACAAGCTCACATCTAGCACCACCTTACAACATACTCACCATCGACACCAGAGATGACACCTTCAACAACAACAAGACAATACAACTCGGCACTTCTCCGCTGCCTTTTTGCTGCCGCGCCGCGCCGTGCCATAGCTACGACCACGACATGCATTTTCCGTGGCCCTACGCTCACACCACGCCACCACCATTACCTACCACACAACCTCAACCCACATGGCCGCTGCCACAGCCATCAACTGCACCCACCTTTCCCACGACACAACCATCGGCATACCCTCACCCACAACCACAACCATTTCAACCACCACCTTTTTTGTCCAACCCTACCGCCACTGCACTGACCTACGGCACACCATCCACTTGGACGTTTGTGCAACCATGTCACGTGCCACCGCAGCCCACACATCCAACTCCAGTCTTTCCGACAGCAGCACCTCCCCCTTCATACCTGTTACCACCACAACATCCCACACCACCGGCCGAACTTCCTCCCCCCACTACACTGACCCATCCCCCTCCAACACAGCAACAGACTGCGATTGCCAATCATCCATCCACAGACCCCCAATGCGCCATCCCCCAGGGCGTTTGGCAGCCCTATTCAGCTTTTCCCCCAGTCACACAGCCTCCACTCCAACCGTTGCCCCCGCCACCACCTCCACAAACCATCAACGCCTCAACACCAGTCCAACCTCCACTCCAACAGCAGCCACCATCGGATCCAACACCACCAATCCAACCCATCCCCACGACTGCCCCGGACACTCCATTGCCGGTCCAAAACACGACCCCTCCAGCTACCGTATCCCAACATTCTGCATCCCCATCGCTAGTATCAGCCACACCAGCGCCCGGATCTTCACTACCTGCACCAGACAAACCTGACACCATTGCCTCACCAGCACCACAACCACCTTCCCCGCAACCACCACACAGCAGTCGCCGCCACCACCACAAGAGCCGACGCAAGTCCGACCATCACCACAGAGGACGCCGCCGCCACCGCCGCCGACATCGCCATCACCGCCACTCCAAACATCACAGCACAACCCGGCGACGGCGTTCGCCTTCAACATCCACTTACACATCCAGCCTTACGCCATCCCGCAGTCGCTCACCACCACAACCCATTGATTTACGCCCTAACACTGAACACACCAACCCAGACCCCTCTCAATTTCCCACCACAGCCGTCCTCCGTCGCCCAATCAACCGTTGGCGACCTCCACCCAACTTTCACACCTTTACACCTGCAGACCAAATCCTGGAATGGCTCGAATTCCACGCCACCCAACTCGACAATCCCAACCGACCACAACACCAGTACATTGCCAATATCCTCACAGACTGCAACATCACCTACAAGGAGATCACCGATTTCCGACAATATACCCACGCCAAGTGGAACGACACAACTCACCAATACAACCAATTCCAGTACTACGCCATTTCACTTCCCTTCCTCAACACCAAAGCCACTACACCAGAGCCACCTGCGGTTTCCCGCGCCACATCAACCCACCGGGAAGTCGCCCACATCAACGCAGGCCACACAGGCCCCGTCGGCAACATTTCCAACATTCTACGCCAAGGCCGATTTTTACCCAGCACACTCCACTTTGCCAACTACCCTGGATTTTTTGCCCAGGGCGTTCGCATCACCCACAACCAACCCCATGACCACAACGAACTTGCCCGCATCATCCACAACACCTGGCAACTCCACAAGAACTCCCATTCCCTTATCATCACACTCCTTGCTTGGGGTGCTGCCACAAAATATACCTCCGGAGGTGAGGAACACGCCATGAACCTCCTTAACGACCACCATGGTGCAGTCTTTCATCAGAAGGGCCGCTGCTGGGTGATCCACCCGGACCACGCCATTGTCAAAGGACTGGCCTGGTCCACAAACTCCACTCCACCGGACACATAACACCACTATCCCACATCTACACACCACTACCACCTCCACATCCACTTTTGGTCTCACACCACCACCTAACCTTTGCTCGTAGCAGCCAAAAAGAGCCTCCTGCAGCGGCCACGCGAATTTTGAACCCTCAATTTTTTCAAGCTCTGCAGTGTTTGCTGTAAACATTTTTCTTCAATTTATACCGGCTGTTCTGATGGAGTTTTTCACATGTCAGATTCTCATGTACTTGACAGTCCAACCGGCATTGCATTTTCGTACTTTGCCTGTGGAAATTTGATGCTCGCTTAATTCATACGCACGGCCTCGTGATGATGCGCTCCCTCAGACTCGCCGCTGTCCGGCTGCTCTGGCGCGCTGCTGCAGCAACCCGTGACGATTCCGTGCTATTGTACATCCCTACATCTCCGAACCATGAGCAGCACACCGACACCTCTGCGCAACGACACCTCAACTCTCATACACAGAACCACAGTGGTACTTTCGCAGCTGCAGAACCTGCTCAGACAAGCAACCGATAGTGTAGCACACCTCCACACTCAGTTCCTCCACCATATCCACCAAGCGGATCCCACTTTCCGCCAACACTTTCAGCCACTTCCAACCCCGCCCAACCACCCTATACGTTTACCATCTACTACCTCATCTTGTGACTCAGCACCATCCAGACCACCCCTCCGTTTACCAGCACCACCCTCAAAAGACTCAGACGACAACACCCCCAGATCCACAACCCACCACAACACGCAAGCGGAAGCAACCACCCCCACCACCACTGAACCAACAGGCGGACTGGGATGCTTGGGACGGCGACGCCGACTGTCGCCTGGTCGAACTCAAAGAAAACCCCAGACTTCGTCCCAACTGGACCACTGTGGCTCGCCGAGTGGGCTTCTCCGTAGAGCAACGCCAAGCCCGATGGCAAGAACTCAAAGACATGCAACGTCAGCAGGACCAGCAACTCTTCTCCACACCACTACCAACCGCACCACCAAGACAAGCACCTTCCCCATCACCAACACCCACATCACCAGCAGTTTCCCCAGCACCACATTCACAACCAGATTTCTCCCCTTCCCCCATAACAACGCCACCGACTTCACCACATCAAACGACTCCTGCTGCTGTGCTGCTGCCGCCGGCCGCTGAGCGAGAACTTAGTGAAGACAGTCATCCGGAGAAATCTCCACTTACGCCCGTTGGCAGTTATTTCATTTGACCCGTTTCACCCACCTCTCTTTACGGCGTGCCGCAGGACAAATCCACTGACGTGCACTGACATTTAGTTTTTCACGCCCAGTCTACTTTCACCAGGTTGCCCAACTTCGATTTGTCAGTTTTCAGGCTCACTTCAGCTCCGCAGCCTTTTGTGCGCCATTTTATTCCATCAATTGTCATGGCCAATCCTCGCGCTCGCCCTCATAACAACACCGCCGACACAGAACACTACCTCCCACAGCGCCCTCCGAGCTGGCTCCAACCTTCGATTGGCACTCAGCCCGACTTTCAATCCCTCAACGGCTCTTTGGACCTCCTCTTTCTGGTCAACCAACACCTCCGCCATCACCCATTTCACACTGAACCTATGCCAAGCCAGACCTATTTTCAAGACCAGAGAGCATACAACCTCCTTTACCGAATGCGCGGTGACCTGATCTTGCTGGACCGCCTGATCGATAACCTCTCCCAGGCTCGTCGGCTCCTTCAATTTGTTACCACCGGCCCCGGGCTCCCGGGACAATACCGCATCAACCCCACAGCCACACTCTCCAGCAGAAACCTGGCCATTCTACACGACATACCGCCAGGTTTTCCACTACCACCCGGACTTTCCAGCCGTTCACCCTCTCCCTCACCACGTACCCCACCACAAGACGCCGAACGCCTACACTCATACTGGACAGGTCCCCCACCACAAGCCACCCCGGCCACCAACATCAACACTACCACTCACACCAGGGAACGTTCACGGTCCCGCGACAACCTCTCACACCGCAGTGGCTAACTACAGCAACATCCAACCTCAGGCTCTACGGCAGCCGCTACGCAGTTTGCCAACTATGAGACGGCATCCCTGCCCACGGCTGCTGCTACATTTTGTTTTTCAAGTCTCACTGATTTTCTCGGCGAGCGGCAAAACTCAGCCATCCAACAGAACTACTACTTTTCACACTCACACTGTTTAATGGTTTTTCACATTTGCTTGCCACCATTTTTTCTGCAGCCATTTGACCGAACTGTTTCTTCATAACCGCCCGTCCTTTCTACGACATGATGCCTCGCGATGATCTACGAACTCCACAACCTCCT